CAGTTTTATATGTGAAAGAAATTTTGCAATTTTGTTTTGTGAGGGGTGTGTAAATTGACTGTAATATATATTGCAGTTTTATATGTGAAAGAAATTTTGCAGTTTTATTTTGTGAGGGGTGTGTAAATTGACTGTAATATATATTGAAGTTTTATATGTGAAAGAAGTATATGATGAGAAACTTTGTCTTGTGCTTGATGTGTAAATTGACTGTAATATATATTGTAGTGATGTTAATAAATGGAAATGTTCAAACTGTGAGCCATTTTGTTTTGAAACTGTAATATATATTGTAATATATACTGTTCAAACTGTAATATATATTGTAATATATACTGTCTTGTGCTCCATGTTTTGTTTTGAAAATACTGCTTATTTAATGGTTGAAAATACTGTTTTACTGCTTATTGTAACACTCTTCTCTCTTACGCACACAAAGGTTGTTAATGAGGCGCCTCATGTTTCTTTATAATTTATGTTGGATTCTACATTGCAGGGTGAAACAACCGAACCTCCACCTATATTGGAACAAACTAATGAAGTGAATAATGATGAAGAAAATGCTAATAAGAAAAGGAAAGTTGAAGAAGCTTCAACATGGGCAACATCCAATGATCCTAATGTTACAGCTGGAGATTCAGGTAATAGAAAACCTATTAAACCTAGATCTTGGACTTGGAAACATTTTACAAAAATAGGATCAAGAGCTAAGTGTAATTGGTGTGATGTAACATATGTTGCTGATTCACAAATAAATGACACTAGTAATTTGAAACACCATCTGTTGAAGCAATCTAAGAAGTTCCCCAAAGAGTCTATTGATCCCACTCAACAGACTCTTTTTCTTCAACAACTGAAAAAAGAAGAAACGAATGGATCTGGTAGTGTTCTCACTAGTGTCCATTTTAATGTTGAGGCATGTAGGAAAGTGTTAGCTAGGATGATTATTGTTGATGAGTTAGCTTTTAAGTTTGTAGAGGGAAAGGGGTTTCTTCATTTTATGAGTGTCGTTCAACCTAAACTCTTGATTCCTAAAAGGAATACATTTGCTAGAGATTGTTGGGATTTGTACAAGAGTGAGAAACAAAAGTCTAAAAGTGTATTAAATAAATCAAATCAATGTGTCTGTCTTACAACTGATTATTGGACATCAGTGCAAAATTTGAGTTATATATGTCTCACTGCCCATTTCATTGATCATGATTGAAAAATCCATAAAAGGATTTTGAATTTCTGTCCAATTGTGAATCACAAAGGAGTAACCATCGGTAAAAAATTGAAAAATGTTTGGAGGAATGGCTAATAGGTAATGTTTTCACCATTACGGTTGATGATGTCGCTATCACTTACTTGAAAAATACAACGAATGATTGGAATTCACATCCATTGAAAGGAGAATATATACATGTTCGCTGCTGTGCACATATTCTGAATCTTGTGGTGCAAGATGGACTCGAAAACTATCATTCTTCAATTAGTAAGATTAGGAATGTTGTTAGATATGTTCGTGCATCTCTGGGCCGTATGGATAAGTTTAAAACTTGTATTAAGGAAGCTAGGTTACAAGAAAAGTCTATTGTTCAGTTGGATGTTTCTACTAGGTGAAATTCCACATATCTCATGCTTGAAAGTGCATTGAAATTTCAGAAAGTATTTAAGAGATTGAGTGAGATGTGTGTTGATTTTGTGTTGATGAAAGATGGTATTCTAAATAATGTGAATTGGGATAATGCAAAGTGTTTTGTTAATTTCTTGAAAATATTTTTTGATATTACAAAGAAAGTTTCAGGTTATACTTTTGTAACATCTTCTCAATATTTCAACAAACACATTAGAATATTGACTACTTTGAAGGGGTGGATAGAATTAAAAAGTTCAGATAACTTGCTTGGAAACATCACTGAAGATATGAAAGTTAAATATGATAAATATTGGGGTGATGTTGAAAAAATGAATAAGATGATATTTGTTGTTGTGTTTGATCCTCGACATAAGATGCAGTTTGTTAGTTGGGGCTTGAACAGGACATATGAAAAGGATGTTGTTGAATCTTTGTCTAAAAAAATAGAGGAGACATTATATAAAATATTTGAGAGTTATAGGTTTTTCCTTAGTAAAGGTCAATATGAAAATCCTACACATTCCTCTCATGAAGTGAATTCGGTAGAACTCAAAGCACCCGAGGATGCATTTGCTTTGGAGGTTGAGATGGACATGAATCTTAATGAGAGCATGCAGAAAAATAAAGTGGATTTGTATCTCATGGAGAAATTGGAGAAGAAAAGTTCTGGTTTTGATATCTTGAATTAGTGGAAGGTGAATTCCAACAAGTATCTTATTATTGGTCAAATGGCTAGAGATGTATTGGTCATGCATGTGTCTACTGTAGCTTCAGAATCTGCTTTCTCTATCAGAGGTAGAGTGCTTACTTGTTATAGAAGCTCTCTTACGCCAAAAACAGTTGAAGCTTTAATTTATACACAAATTAGTGTAAATTTTCTCCGGTATCAATCGATATTGAAGAGTTTGTGGATAACTTGAATTATTTTTTTGTTGGATTACTTATATTATTTATAACTTGAATTATTTTTTGTTGGATTATTTATATTGTTTATAACTTGAATTACTTAATATTTTATAGAACTTGCTCCAATCCCACAATTGAATGAAGGTGTATCTGATATAGATTCTGATTAGCAATCGATATATACATTGTAAAAGCTGCTTGAACTGTTGGAGCTGTTGAAACTATTATTTTTGTTATTAGAAAGTGTTGTTTCTATTATTAATGTTGTTTCTGTTATGCACGGTCGTTGCTGGAACTCAATTGATGTTATTACGTTTATGTTATCTTGCTGGGTTTAGTGATGTTGTTACGTTTCTATTTCTATTATACTGCTGTTTCTGTTATTTATATTATATTTTATTCTGTTATACGTTTATGCTGCTGTTTATGTTACTATATAAATAAAGACTTTCTATTGTTTTCTAATTTCTACGCATTTCATAACAGAACATATATAATAATAATATAGACTTTCTATTGCTGCATTATCTATGGTAATATGCTAATATATATAATATATATTTGAATTAAATGTAAAATGTTATGTACTATTATTCTATTAAACACTATTAACTGCATTATCTATGATAATATACTAATATGTATATATATTTGAATTTAATGTAAACTCTTATGTATTATTATTCTATTATTTTATAAAACACTATTATTCTATGACACACTATTATTCTTGTACTGTCCTTGTAAACTTTAACATTTAAATTATTTTCAATTTGTAAATAATTTCTATTTTAAAACCGAATTAATCGAACTGAATAAAACCGAATAAATTAGATCAGATTGAATTAAATTTTTTATGGTATCATTCAAAAACCGATCCAAACTGCATGCTTTTTAAATCTTTAGATAAAATAACTTTTTATCTCAAAACCGATCAATACCAAACCGTAAACACCTACAACTAATATTCATAGCTTGTTTGGATTCACGTTTAGAATGAGAAACGCACGTCTAGAATGGAGTCTGCCGTGAAAATAAAAAAAAGCTAAGATTCCTAGCTTTTGGTAGACGCTAGAGGCATATTTGACGCGGAAACAAATACTAACTCAGTATTATTAATTTGAATGAGCAATCCAATTGTTTTGAAATATTTACTATTGGGAAAACATTTGTAAAATAATGCAAGGAGACATTGCTTTTGCTATTGAAGCGTTGCTTTTGCTATTGAAGCGTGAGATACCGGTACTTATTATTGGGAGAAAAGATTTATGAATTATTGCACATTGTAATATGCTTATACCACCTTATAACTTTGCTACAAGTTACCTATAACAAGTGAGATTTTCCGATTTTCAGGAACTATAACAAAAAGAGGTTAGCTTCGGAAAAATATGTTTGAAATATTCAAAACCAAAGAAAGGAAGTGTGAGTGTGTAAAGAGAAATGAAGAGAAAAAAATCATCTACCAGTCAAGCATGAAACATATATTTCTATTTAAATTATTTGTAAGCTTGATCCAAGATCACTAATGCTTAGATGATAAGTTCATACTTTTGAATTTATTTCATGGAACAGTGAGACCAAAATTCACTTCATTCCACTAAAGAGAGTAGTAGCAAATTACAGAGCATCTTATGCAACGTATACTCAGAAAAGTGACATATCGAGTTGAAAACAATGAAATCTGAATTGACTGCAATCACTACCAACCAATGAGTTGAAATCTGAATTGACTGCAATCACTACCAACCAATGAGTTGAGGTGAATGTTGTCGCATGAATTGCAATTACAACTTGGCAATCAGTAGAAAGATAGCTAACATTATGCTTTTATCAAGTCCATTGATTTTGAATGAGCAAAACACAGATCCATAAATGCAGCTAAAACAGTTGATGAAACAAGAAAGAGTATTTCATTATGATACTACTTTTTCTCATACACCGAAATCTCTTGATCAAGTCATTATAGAGCACAATTTTAGCCTATATCTCTTGAATGCAAAGGTGTTTAATAAATTAAAACTTAATCTAGATTTATAGAATATTAGATAATTACACAATAGTTAAGGGTACCATTTGAAATCATATCTGAAAGATTGAAACAATGGCAAGAAAAATAAACACAAATCAAGTATGTTAAGCTTAAGAAAGAAAAACAGCAATTTGATAACAAGCTTTCTAGAGCATCAAGGAAACTAAATTCATTAACTGATCATTAATACGAAACACTGAATAAGCATATATAAGACACAGACGCCAATCTCAGACCTGATACACAACTAAAATATGAATGAAATAAGCTGAAATGAAATAAAATGACATAATAATACTGATGATAATCCGAGTAAAATTAAATAATTACCTAAAAGTAGCAAATTACACCACCGCATATACCCAAAAGCAAAACGCGCCTCATCCAACAGACAGAATTTTGCATCCAAAAATGAGAAAGACAAGCTGAATCAGTTCTGAATCAGTTCTGGCTGTCGATCTTCCTTCCAGTCCCTTCCCCGTCTCTCTGTTCCAACAACCTTCCAGCCTCTTCATCATTCTGAAGAGCCTTCTTCTGCGTCTCCGAAGCCTTAAGCGCCTGCAACTTGGAATGATTATAATACGCAACCCCCAAAAACGCCAACCCATAACCAATCAAATTAACCGGAGTAACAGTATCCTTAATCACAGACCACGAAAACGCAATCAACAGCCAATCCTTAACAACCCCAGCAACATTCATAGTCAAAGCAGAAGTCTTCCCAACCAGCAAAAACACAGCAAGATTCAAAGCAAAAGCACAAAGCGAATTGGTCCCAAAAATCGCGAAATCCAAATGAAAACTCGAGTTATCCCTCAAAGAAGGATACTCAACAATCAACCAAGGAACAGACAAAAACACCAAACAACAAGGAGCAATGTAATAAAGTGACGTAATGGGATTCAACGAAATCCCCTTAGAATTAAGCAAAATCTGAATCAAAACCAAACGCGTAGCCTCAAAAGCAACAGCCATAAGCTGCAACGTAACACCCCAAGTATCAAACTTAGCTTCACCGTAAGCCGCAACAGCAACCCCGAGCGAAATCGAAATCATATTCGCCATAGTCTCATTCTTAAAACCCTCCTTCTTAAGCAAAACTCCAATCGAATAAACAGCAACAGGCATAAGCGCTTTCAGCATCTGAATAAACGAAACAGAGAGATAAATATAAGCGGAATTCGAAAACCAAAGCGAAAGAGAATACAGCGCACCGATCGGAACAACCGATTTCAGATACAGATCGCGTGACATCGAAACCGGTTCAACCAGCTTAAACACGCGAACAAGAAGATACGCCAGTGACGAACAAAACGCCATGTGAATCATGGTTAACGAGATCGGATAAGACCAATTGTACATCTTCTTATCCAAGATGTACTTGTTGTACACGATAACAGTGAAGCTGAGGAAGATCCATATCGCTACGTAGGTGTACGAGAGGATCACTTTCTTGACGACGCCATCGGAGACCGCCATTTTTTCTGGTGAACCCTAACCCTAATCGGAGGAAAACGACGGATCTGGAGGATTTGATCGGAATTCAGAGAAATTGAATCGGGTCGGGTTTCATGCGATTCACCAAATCGGAATAATAGAATAACGGGAATTAGAGATGCGAATTTGTATTATTTCAGATCTAGATTTTTTTCTTACTTTGAGTGAAGAGAGTGATGTGGAGTTTTAAATTGTGACACTTGCCAAACCTATGACTTTTTGGGCTATTTAATTAATGGGCTTTTTTTGTTTCATACCCAAAAGCTAGATTAGGAACATGCATGTATTTTTTTATTGATTAGTCAAATTTGTACACTTAATAATAGTGCTAACAAGGTAAATTAGGTTATGGAACATACAAATAATAGTATATTTTAGTTTCTGGGATGAATATTAATAGTTGAATTTGCCTTTGATTACTTTTTTTCTATGACAGTCCATGACTTTATCTTTTATTTATTACTATCAAAGTTTTAATTTTTGACATCATTTTTTTCTAAAACAAGTTCACCAACTAAATGAGATAAAAATTTGAAGAAAGAAATTTGTGTGGTACATTTCAATTTGAGCGTTTTGATTCAAGATTGTTGAATTTCTTAGATACAAGTTTAATGAAAATGTGTCTAACTAAAAGAAGAAATTTGTGCAACAGGTTTCTTAAAATTGTGGTTTAAATTGTGCTTGATTTGATATAAAGCGAGATATTGAAAATGAGAAGTGGTATTTAGTTTGGGCGAATAATTGTTTATAAAAAAGTTGTATTTGTATTTATATATAAATTGAGATATTCTTTGAACGTAACTGCGGAAATTAATCCTTCAAATCTTGTATGATTAAATAGGTGGATCAGCTCTCCTTCCAAAAATTTAATAAGATTATCAAAAAAATTATTTTTTTCTTTCTTCATTTCACAAGTTATTTTTTTTTTACATGATTATTTAATATCATTAAATTTATATAATTATTTTTCAATTTACAATTAAGTAACTCATTTCAAATTTACATATGTATATAATTACATTTTATATTGTGAATCCATTTGATTCTTAGATGTTTTACATGATATCAAACCTAGGATACATTTAGTGTTTTTGTATATTGAATGGTTTCTCTAATTCATTGTGTGCACCCTTGATTAGAGATCTTAGAATGCATCTAGAATATGTTTGAAAAAGGTTGTCCATAGGTATCATGCACTAAAAATCAATTTTTACATAAAAAACAGTTGTATGTGTGTTCACAGTGATTTCTGGTGAACAAGCGCTAGTCTTCCAAACTATCGAATAAACTTAATGACTGTTATTCAATTTCTCTGGTAACTTGCAGGATCGACTAGATTGATCCTATGGAACATGGTTGTTTGGTTAAGTCTAATTGTAAAACTGGTATTCATATTCAGGACTTCAAATTAGAATTGTTTCTGAGATATCTATTCCACTTCGATTACTATACTGAATGGTTCGAAGGATAACTTCTATATGGTATTAGGAATGTTCATGAAAAAAGTTTAAAGACTTAAAATTGGGTAAATGGCAGGATTAAATTAGTGGATGTAAAAGTTACTGAATGTTTAGAGGGTTCGACCATAAGAAAAGTATTTAAATGCAGAAAGGAATAAATGACTTCGAATGTAAAGGCTTTAATGTAAAGGCAGAAAACGTAAAATGTTTGAAGCACAAATGAAACAGAAATAAAAGACAAACTGGAAAATGTAAAGAGTTTTCATTGAATTGTAAATGTTGGTGTTATCATACGTACATCTTTCGAGCATTCGTTTCCCTATCCATGTGGTATTTTGAATGTTTATTGGATTTTTACAACAGATATGACACACCAAATCCTAACACTAAGACCTCTATTTATACTATTTCGACCATAACGGTCTTGTTATCAGAATCTGCCACGTTCGAAGCATGCAGAGCAATACTTCCCTCTAGTCACCACGCGTCCTCGAATGTTCCAATGCTTAGGTATTTTGAATTTCCAATATCCCGCTCACGTTTAAATTTCAAACGCCTTGGTACCTTCATTTCGAATTCGTGTCGAAAATAACCCTCACAGATATAGTTTCGTCAGTATTTCGGACAATGCTTTAGACTTACACTCCACAACTACCAATCGAAACCTTGAACTTTAATATTTCCATTCGAAAAAAACATTCTCTTCCACTCTAAATCATCAAACTTGTCTTATTCAAACAAAGCCCAATCATTTTATTTCGAATCATAATATCAAAATCTTCAGTCAACAAAATACCCCTTTAAAATATGTATTTCGAACCCTTTGAGAAATATTTATTTTAAACAGATTCACAAGATTTTGATAGGCTTTTTTGAAGAATCATGACATTTATTGTGCATGACTTTACCCACGTTAATCAAGACGCTTCTTTGAGCACTTAACCGTCTTGGACCAGTTACCACAGCATGGTGTGGTTTTAAAATAATGATTACTATTAATCACACTTATTACTAAAGCTAGCCCTTACGCCACCTCCCCCTGAATCCAATCAACGACTTCCACGTACTCCTAGTCCCTTTAGTGGGTGTTTACACTCACTCTATAAAACTTATCAGTTTAGTCTTTTTCTTCTTTTCTCCAAAGTTCTGAAATCCTCCTCCTTTTCTCTAAACCCTAAAACTTCCAGCAATCTTAACAATGTCTTCATCAACATCATCACAATTGAAGAAATTATCAAAAAAGAAGAACAAGAAAATCAACACTGAAACCATCATGGAGAGCAAAGTGAGTATTTATCAGAATCAATCTGTACTCAATCCTCAAGTGATCTCCAAAGAGAAAGAAATGTTGTACGCTTCTCAGGTATTAATCCCTACCACTGTTGCTGGAAAAAGGTTTGCCCTAATGGGTCCTTTAACTGTTTTTGAAATTCTGAAAGATACTAGGAAATTTTTTCCTGTTTGCTATAAATTCAAACCCTTATTCAACAAGATGGATGCCCCTAAGGAAGGAACTGAAGACCTCAGCGAATCATCTGATTCAAAAACCACTGAAACTCCAACCTTACCTCCGAAAGATCCTTTTATTTTAGATTACATTAAAAGTAATTTCAAACCATTTCGATCCTGCCCCACCTCAGATGTAGCATATCAAAACTGGTTCACTAAGGTGGAATCCAAAAAATCTCAACAATGGGAAGAATTAGGAATTTATAACCTAATCAAACTGTCGAAACCAGGCTTCACCTACAGTCACCCATTGCTATTTGCTTCATTGTACTTCTGGGATAGTACTTATAACACTTTCCATCTTCCGGGCGGAATGATAACACCCACCTTCTTCGACATAGCTGCCATCACTGGTCTTTCACCAGTGGGGGAAACTTACATTCCTGACAATGAAGAACATTCCAGCATTATTGACTTCAATGTCAAACTAGCCAGCTTCTCAAAATTCATCAGCCATTATCATACTGAAGGGGATGATGTCTCAGATGTAGAACATATCGCTTTCCTCACCTTGTGGCTGTCACGATATGTTTTTTGCAGCAGATCCCTGCAAGTGGAAAGTAGGTTCATTCCCCTAGCCAGGGATTTCCATGAAAATAGGAAAGTCTATCTGAGTGAACTGTTACTTGTCGACCTTTATGAGAGTTTAAGGTCAGCAGTTTCTAGTTTAAAATCCCATGCTCCAAAGAACATTCTTTTGGCTGGACCCTTTTGGTTGCTTCAATTATGGCTTAATGCCATGTTCGAATCTTCTTTATCAACCTCTGATACCATCATTGAACAAGACCCAGAAATAGCTAACAGGAGCATCGAAGGCACGAGGCTTCGAAAACTCACTCCAAATGATGACAAGGATGATTTCAAAGTCCAATTTTCTAAATACATCATGATCTTCTCCAAAAGACACAAGTTCGAAGAGTCCATGGCACCTTTTGCTCAAAGGACATGTGGACCATTATGGTTCACAATGCCTCTCTCAGAAGCCATCAAGAGCAAAGAGATGCAGGACATTTGGAAAGTGTTTCTTCTTCCTAGGCTAATTTCCTCAAGAATTACCCCAACAAAGAATCAGATTTTCCTTCTGGCTTATCAACCTAATTTTGTTTCTCGACAATTTGGCTTGTGCCAATTAATTCCTGAACCTTTGTTCCAAACACAAAGTGCCATAACCTCAGGCAAAACGTTCAAAGCAAGAGAGGCCAAATTGCAACAGGAGCAATACCAAGACTTTGCTCAGTTTGAGCTCTTACCTTTCGAGCCAACACACTTTACAGTGAAAGGATTTCTTGAATGGTAGTTCTACCAGACATACATGTTTGACACACTCACCATTCAACAAAAGCTAACTGGCGCGTTCAATGTGCAGGTACACTCCAAGAAAGGTATGTTCACTCACGTCAAAGAAATTAGGGCTTTTCAAAATTATTTCGAAACCACTTATGATCCCACACACTTGGGAACCACTGTACATCAAGCGGCCGAGACCTTGAAGGAAAAATTTGAAGAAAAAATTTCTAAGCTCAAACTTCCTTCAGGGTTGTCACCTGAGGATAGGTATAGGTTGGCACTCGAAATGCACCCACCTAAATTTCCTAGGTTGCCTACCTCAGAACTGGCTCTGGCTTGGTTTCCTCCATACCCTTGGTGGTTCACTTGCAAAGAAATGTTCAAATACCAGTCTCTAAAGAAATTAAAGCCATCTGAGACTGTGACATGGGCTCGCTACTGGCTTCATAATTTCCCAGGACATCTTCGCTATGACCTTCCTGCCATTTCGATTACCTCTAATCAAGGCACAGGTGTGAATGCTTGGGAAAATTCCAATTGTATTCTAATTCCCTTATCTTTAACACTTTACCTTAATTGTTTCACTTTTCAGCCATTCGGATAAAGAATGTTACTTCAAAATCTAAGGAAGGGAACACTTCTCAACAAGCTATTGAAGTTAGCGATGATGCAACTCCAACAATACCCAAAACAACAATAACTACTACAACAACAACGCCAGCAGCA